TCTCTTCCCTTCTCCTCTGAAGTCTACCTATTCATTCTCTTAATTCATATTTCATTAATAGATAACTAATACTAATAGTGTAGGGGATGTAACAAAGTTCCTGCAACCACCATTCTAATTTCTATTTACTTGCTGTCCCAGGCTTTTTGGTAAAATAGCTGTGTTTGCAAGAAAGTGCTGGAAGGATTCCCCATACATGGAAACACTCTATCTGTGTCTGTGTTAGCAGTACATTGCCACCAAGGGCGTGTCTTGTACTGTGGTGACAAAGCCTCCACCATAGATGAAATTAGGTGCAGTGCTGCTTTCCTGAATTGTAGGGCAATGCAGGTGCCATCCTCGAAATGAGGGAAGCAAGAATATGCAGGCTAAAGCCACCTGTTGAATGACACTAGTGTGTTTTAGTTTTTGGATACTGTCCTGCTAACAGCTGCTTTGCCTACTCAGTGAAGCACCTCAGTCTTACAAAACTAAGTGCTCTGCAAGTCTTGTGCCATCAGCTTTCTTGTGAAGCCGTCAGTTGGGTTGCATGCTCATAACTGTCTCTTGTATTTTCAGACTCAAGTAGGGGAATTTCTTGGGGAAAGCAACAAGTTTAACAAGGAAGTGATGTATGCCTACGTGGATCAACTAGATTTCTGTGGGAAAGACTTTGTCTCCGCTCTCCGTATATTTCTGGAAGGCTTCCGGCTGCCTGGTGAAGCCCAGAAGATTGATAGATTAATGGAGAAGTTTGCTGCTAGATATATTGAATGCAACCAACGGTAATCCAGAACCTCTCCATTTGAGTGCCTGAAGAGCAGTGTTTTTGTGGGTGTATGTGGCCTCAGGGATAAAGTGCAACTCCCGCCTATACCACAGAAGTTGGGCATCTCTGCAGATTTGTGTGGAACAGATCTTACTGCTTATCTGTGCTGAAGCTCTTCAGCAGCCAGGCAAAATGGTTTTCTATCAGGATTTCCTGGAGGCGACTTTAACTTCCATTTTTCTATCTAAAACTTCACAATACCAGTGCTGGCATTTCAATATTTCAATATATGCCGCATATTTGTTAGAGGGAATTTTTGAATGAGAAGCCCTGAACGTGTTAAAATTCTGTAATATCTGATTTTTCCCTCATTTGTGGTCAAATCTGGATTAGTCAAGTATAAATAATAGTGATTAGCTTAGCTTGTGAAAATTAAAAATAAATTGCTTAAGTAGCTAATAAAATGCTGCGCTTTTTTGTCTCCATTAGCTAAATGGAGAAGACAAATGCATGTATGTCACATATAAAGTAGACTGTTTCTGTTAAATCTAATACAGTAACAGGCTAACATTAATGGGTATTCAGTCCTAACCGGTTCCCAGTTAGTCCGGTCGGTGTATCACTTGGTCTGATTTTGTGCAAATCCTTCTGAAACTCTATGAGAATAGCCTGTCCTTTAGCTTTTTGTTGGAGTACCCAAAGGAGGATGATGTGTAATCTTATTGCAAGGAATTTGAAGATTCCGGTCCTCCTTACTAGTCAACCTTGTGAAAATGATGCTTTTATGTTCTTTTTTATTTATTTTCTAAAGCATTGGGGCTTCTTGCATTTCTAAAGTCTAATTTTAGGCCTTTAGAAGAGGCCTTATTGTGTTCTTTGATTGAACACATAGCACTCCTGGGTATTTATCCCTCGTATGTGGAAATAGAGCTAATGGATTGAGGAATTAGGAATCTAAAGCATGTTTCTTTTTGTTGTTTTATTCCCTCAGGCAAACACTGTTTGCTAGTGCTGACACTGCCTACGTTCTGGCATACTCTATTATAATGCTGACTACAGACTTGCACAGTCCACAGGTAGGAAAAAA